AGTCTTCCTCTTCTTTTTTATACCACCCTGTTTTTGTCGTACAGCTTTCTTTCTTTCTGAACATTGTAAATACTTGGAAGTCCGTTTAAAATTATTTCATTTTCGGGGCGACTGGGTGGCGCAGTTGGTTAAGCGTCCGACTTCAGCCAGGTCACGATCTCGCGGTCTGTGAGTTCGAGCCCCACGTCAGGCTCTGGGCTGATGGCTCGGAGCCTGGAGCCTGTTTCCGATTCTGTGTCTCCCTCTCTCTCTGCCCCTCCCCCGTTCATGCTCTGTCTCTCTCTGTCCCAAAAATAAATTAAAAAAAAAAAAAACAAAAACGTTGAAAAAATAAAATTATTTCATTTTCTCCATTACCAATGTATTATATAAATCTTTCATTTGTTTGTCAACTCATTCTTATATGGTTAATTTATTCAGAGAGGTGGTCATTTTTTTTCAATTATAAACTCTTCTTCCATGGGGTTCAGCCCAGGGCAGTCCTATTTGCACTGATCTCTGGTAAATTTTTTATGTTAATTTCTCAGTTTGAAGATTTAGTACCTTCTGTATCACATGAATTCAGACCTCTATCCTTGAACTCTGTTAGGCTTAGGTTTTCAATTTCTTGTGGTTGGTTATATTTCAACACGCAGCAGTGGGTAAATAGCAAACTTCCTTCTAGTTATTCCAGGAATTCCTTGTTTCCATTTCATTTATGAAACAGTATTACTTGACTTCTAGCTTTATGCAGGAAGCTTAGTTACAGGTCCCTGCTCCCAGGATTCCGCGGTCTAGTGTCCCTTCCCCATTTAATCCAAGTCCTTAGCCATTAATCGATAACTTATTCCTCATTTCCCTTAAGCCTCTTGGCATTGACTCCAACTTAGCATTCTTATTTTGAGGCACTCAGCATGTCTGGTATATGAGAATTTCCCTCTTTTGGTTTCAATCTAGACTATGTATTTAAACCCTTTTGCGGGGGTGGGGAGATTGTTAAATATTACCCAACATTTCAACTTCTGTACAGCAGCTTGGGAGATTTCCTTATCCAGTATGTCATCTACAAATGCTGAAAGCCCTGGGTTATTGTGGTTGACAGACTACGTCTTTGCCTTAGAATCTGCTAGGAGAGTTACTACTAAGATAGGTGGGCTAAGTATCCACTTATTTGATAATGCCCATCTTTACTAATTCAATATCCTTTTGTAATGAAGGGAAATCTTTGGAGCACTAGGAAACTTGAAGCTTTGACAGGTGTCACTGACAGAGGGAGGACACCAAAGATAGAATTTCTTCCAGTATGCCATAATATTTGAAATTCTACCACTAGGAAGTACTTTTACGTAGTTATTTTTTTATTTCCAAGATTCTTAAAAATCATTATGTCATAATCAGTGATTAATACTCACTAAATATTTTCCTTATTGGCATTATCTGATTATTTTCTAGTAACTGTCCAAAAACCATGCACATGCACACAATATAGGAGTGGGTTTTTTTTAATTTTTTTTTCAACGTTTATTTATTTTTGGGACAGAGAGAGACAGAGCATGAACGGGGGAGGAGCAGAGAGAGAGGGAGACACAGAATCGGAAACAGGCTCCAGGCTCTGAGCCATCAGCCCAGAGCCTGACGCGGGGCTCGAACTCGTCACGAGATCGTGACCTGGCTGAAGTCGGACGCTTAACCGACTGCGCCACCCAAGCGCCCCTAACAAAAGTTTTAAAAAGAATCTTTTTGGTTAATTTTTGGATTGTAAAGTTACAGGCATAGGAGGAAACAGTGTTCATTTCTTCTTGCCTGTTGGTGTTCTTACTCCTCTGCCTGAGAATTGGAGGCAAACAAGGTATTATGGGCTCAAATGTATCTTCCCAAAATTCTTATGTTGAAGTCCTAATCTTCTCAGTATCTCAGAATGTAACTGGATTGAAGCTTAAAATGAGATCTTCAAAGAGGTAATTGAGCTAAATGAGACCATTAGGGTAGACCCCAACCCAGTCTGCCTGGTGTTCTTGTAAGAACATGCATTTGTGAAAAAGAAAGACAATGTGAGGACACAGTGAGAAGGTGACCAATGCAAGACAAAGAGAGAGTCCTTAGGAGAAACCAACTGTATGCCACCTTGATCTTGGACTTTGAACCTCCAGAACCATGGGAAAATAAACTTCTGTTGTCTAAGCCACCCAGTCCGTGGCATCTTTTTTTAAATGGGAGCCTTAGCAAAGTATTACTCAAACTAATCAACCCTTTTGTTCAGTCTCTGTAGTAATAAATGAAAACCCTTGCCAGATGTCACTTTCTTTAGTGGCATTAGCGGCCTGTTAAAGACAAGAATGTATCTACCAAACTCTTGGGGAAAAAAAAAATTCAAGACTAAACACACAAGCGCACTAAAAGAATCCTTTATTTTCTTGAGAATGCAGAAGGCACCTGTGTATCTTTTGCATATGAGTAGTTTTTTGGTTTTTGTTTCTTTGCTATATAGAATATATTACTGATCTGACATTGTAAACTGCTTTAAAAACCGTTTGAGTCTCAGAAATAAATTTGGAGTGAATCAAAGGTCGATGAGAGATACAAATTCATAGTTTATTTTTCATTCTACTTCACAATGTAAATTTAAAATTTTTCAAGGAAATGAGTCATGTCCTGAGAAGAAAGTCCATTTTTTCATGATTCTAGTCAAGCCACCAATATGTTATTCTCCGTTGCCAAAGATCCCCGTTTGTGTCTGAGTTATCATTAGTAAACAGTTGTGAGGGCTACAGAAAGGCTACTGCTACCCTCCTTAAGTAGGTTTAGTGGCCACCACAGAAATGGACAAAGATACAAAGCACTGATTCTGAAAATTATTAATCTGAGAAGTAGAGTAACCTTTAAAAAACTGAAGAATAAAAACCCAGTAATATATTGTACTTCTTTCATGCATATAATTTTTATTGCAAATATTTTATGAAATTGGAAATATTTCATTTTTTATATGTTTAAAATACATCTCACAGGGTAGCTGTTTTTCACCTAATTCTCCTATAGCAGTCTCTCTTGTTCCCTGCTGCTTTTTCTCTTTGGTTACAGCAATAATGTTAAAAATAAACAAATAAACTCACGAGAAATTATAGTGCTGTCACCGATATTTGAAGGACAAAGGTGGGAGATTGTTTTCTTCTTTGCAGATTCAGAAGTTTATAAAGTTAACTACCATAAGCCAATTCTAAAAATACATATAAAAAGGGGATCTAAATTTCTCATTTTGATTACTAGCACTTAAAACTGTTTCCAGGCCTGTTCTCATTTTTCACCTTAGACCTGCTTTCTCAACTTCAATCTTAACCATGTGCATTTTACATGTCCACAGGAAAATCAAAGGCAGTGTGTTTAAAATCAAGTTAATCATCTTGCCCCCAACCTGTTCATCAACAGCTTCCTCCTCCAGTGACTGTTACCAGCTGCTAGTTCCTTGCCCAAGCTCTCACTTTGTACCAGTTTCTCCTGTGTGCCTTCTGTACATTTCCAGTCTCTCACGGTCCAATCTATGTTGCCTCGATTTTTGATCCCCATGGCTCCTGTCCGAGGAAGACCATTAGCTTCCATCTTTGGGCCGTATTCTCCAGTTCACTTTCTACACTGCCCCTAGTTTGACATTTCTAAAATATTGGTCTGATTATGTCTAAAGCCATTCAGTAGCTACCAACGGTTCTTGCCAGCCTTTGGCCTTATTTCTGGACACCTTTCTATTCCAGAAAATGACCATTGTCCTTTTTGAAGAAATGAACATCATACCTATCTGCATGATAGTCTGTCTCACCTATATTTCTATGTACACTTTGGATCTCAATTGTTAGGACATTTCTTCCGGGAAAACTCTCACCTGCCCTCAGCCTCAGTTAAGGGTTCTTCTCGGATGTTGTCACAAAGATGCATATTTACCCTATCTTACCGTTTTTCACTACATTGAAAATGTCTTAATTGTGTCTTCCACCAGTCTGAAAGTGCCAGAAAACCAAGGCAGTTTTTATGTTGTTCATTGTTGTATGTGCACAGAGCCTCCACATAATAGATGATTAGTAAGTATTTATGAAATGAAGAGATAAAAATTAATCAGTAAACAGAGATTACACTCTTTCTGATGGACCTATTATTTTCACTTTTTGTTTGAATATTTTACTAATTAATATAAGCGATTATCCAAATATGCTTAAAAATCCAAAAGTTACCTTAAGTGAACCTTTATCCAATTCCTCCTACAACTCTCAAGGATAGTATGATGATAGGGAAGGAAAGTTAAATGGCACTGACTCCAAATGCATCAAAATGTTGACTCATTAGGCCATTTCTGTTACTTAATAATAGAGCAAATAAATAAGTGCCATGACTCATTGTTCTTCTCCAGTGTAATGTGTTTTTCCCAGTGGTTTCTAATTACCCAAGAGAAGTCAAGCCTTTTCCAAAGTTCATGTATAGAAGGTGAAGGATACTTTAAATTTCTCGAAAAAAGGAATGGATAGAGATTTTAAAATGACTTGATTATAAAGGTATATACACACCTCTTGTTTTTCTGTCTGGAGCAGTGGGGATTACTCCGAAGGAGTAAGAAGTTACAATCTGAGAGAAAGATCAAGTTGGAGGCAAGAATCCCTTTATCCTTTATTGTGTTGACATTTATATGTTGGTCCAGTATTTTAAGACAGGCCTTGTGTCTTGCACAGCTGTGTCCAGTGCAGGGAAACTTGCCAGCATTAATGACAATTACCAGCACAAGGCTCTCTTCTGCTGACCACACCTAATTCTTTTACCCTGATTAAATATTTAAGAACAGAAAGGTTCTGCATTTAAAAACACAGTAAACTATGCCAGTCTAAATCAAAGTTTTAAACCGTCGGACAACTCCAAGACTTGAGGCTAATCATTCACCAGTAGAAAGATAAAATTTTCCTAAACTGAAACTGAGTTTGTAGATGCTGCGTTAACAACATCTGAAGTGGAAAGAACTTCAGGGCAACATTTTCTTCTTTCAGGATTTATTCCCAAAGGACACAGTGACTATTATGTTGGGCCTCAAAAACTGAAAGCACTAAAAATTACTCTTTGGAGTTTACTACCAGAATCCAGCGTCTTGACAGACCAAATCGGTAGGTGGTACCTGGTACCTTCTTTCTTAGAAGAAATGAAGGAAAAAATTGACTTTTCTGGAAAAGGCTTTGTACCTGAGGAAATTTTATGGCTTACTTTGTGGAGCTTCCCAGCCCGAAACATATCTTGCCTCTACCCTTGCCAACATCTTGGAACACAGGCCTTGGAGAGACTGCATAGGTGACTCTGTTCATCCACCTCACTAATAATGATGTGTTCAGCCTTTCTATTTTACCTTGATTCACCATATCTTAAAAATGAATATAAATATTTCAATATTTGATTTCAAATTATCTTTACAAAAGTACACTGATCATATTTCTTTAAAAATATTACTTCCTTAAAGTTGTCACTGAGATGTCATCAGGACGTAAAAGGTAAAAAAAAAAAAAAACCTGAGAAGCAGTCTTTATTCTTGTTCTCTAGTAAAAGGAACTTATCTCGAAGGTCATTAAAAAATTAAGTTCATGGGGCTCCTGGGTGGCTCATTCTCTTGGGCATCTGACTTCAGCTCTTGTGTTTGGGCCCCACGTGGGGCTCTGTGCTGACAGCTCAGAGCCTGGACCCTGCTTCAGATTCTCCGTCTCTCTCTCTCTCTGTCCTTACCCTGTTCAGTCTCTCTCTCCTTCAAAAACAAATAAATGCCAGAACATTTTAAAAACAAAATTCAGTTCATGATTACTGTGGGCCAATTTTTGTTCAACATAGTATTGGAAGCCCTAGACACAGCAGTCAGACAAGAAAAATAAATTCGTGGCATCCATATTGGTAAAGAACAAATTAACCTGTCACTATTTGCAGATGACATGATATTATACATAGAAAACTCTAAAGATGCCACCAAAAAACCACAAGCAATAATAAATTAATTCAGTAAAGTTGTAGGATACAAAATTAACACCCAGAGATTTGTAATGTTTCTATATACTAATTATGAAGTAGCAGAAAGAGAAATTAGAGTAACAATTGTATTGATAATTGCACCAAAAAGAATAAAATACCTAGGAATAAACTCAACCAAAGAGGTAAAAGACTTGTACTCTGAAAACTATAAAGCCCCGAGAAAAGAAACTGAAGATTGCACAAACAAATGGAAAAATATTCCATGTTTGTAGATTACAAGGATTAATATTGCTAAAATGTCCATATTACCCAAATCAATCTATAGATTCAATACAATCCCTGTCAAAATAACACCACCATTTTTCACAAACTAGAACATATAATAATAAAATTTGTATGCAACCACAAAAACCCCAAATAGCCAAAGAACTCTCGAGAAGGAAAAACAAAGCTGGAGATATCACAGTCTTAGATTTCAAGACATACTGCAAAGCTGTAGTAAAGCAGCGTGGGACTAACACAAAAATAGACACATAGAATAAAGAGCCCCAAAATAAACCCACTATTACATAGTCAATTAATTTATGACAAAGGAAGCAAGATACACACTGGGGAAAAGACAGTCTCTTCAATAAACTGTGCTGGGAAAACTGTACAGCTACATGTCAAAGAATAAAAGTAGACCACTCTCTAACACCCCCCCACACACACCCTCAAAATGGATTAAAGACCAATATGTGAGACCTGAATCCATAAAAATCCTAGAAAAGAACAAACAGTAATTTCTCTGACATTGACCATAGCAACATTTTTCTAAATATGTCCCCTAAGGCAAGGGAAACAAAAGCAAAAATAAGCTATTGGGGTACATCAAAACAAAAAGCTTTTGCACAGTGATGGAAACCATCAATAAACAAGAAGGCAACCTTCTGAATGGATAAGGTATTTGCAAATAATATATCCAATAATGGGTTAATATCCAAAATATATGAAGACTTTATACAACTCAACACCAAAAATAAATAAACAACTTGATTAAAAAATGGGAAAAGGCCCTAAATAGACATATTTCCAAAGAAGATATACAGATGGCCAACAGACACAAGAAAAGATGCTCAACATCACTAATCATCAGGAAACACAAATCAAAACAACAACGAGATATCTGTCTTATACTTGCCGGAATGGCTAGAATCAAAAAGACAAGAAATAACAGGCATTGGGGAAGATGCGGAGGAAAAGGAATGTTCACACACTGTTGGTGGAAATGTAAATTGGTACAGCCAATGTGGAAAACAATATGGAGTTTCCTCAACAAAACTGAAAATAGAACTACCATATGATTCAATAATTCTACTTAATATTTATCAAAGAAAGTGAAATACTAATTTGAAATGATATATGCACACCTCTGTCTATTGCAGCATTGCATACAATAGCCAAGCTATGGAAGCAGCCTAATAGTCCATCAATAGGTGAATGGATAAGGAAGACACACACACACACACACACACACACACGCACACACGCACACACGCACACACACACTGGAGTCTTACACAGCCATAAAAAAGATGAAATCTTGCCATTTACAACAACAGGGCGGACCTAGAGGGTATTATACCAAGTGAAATAAGTCAGAGTGAGAAAAACAAATACTATATGATTTTACCCATATGTGGAATCTAAAAAAAAGAACATACCCAATGAATAAACAAAAAGAATCAGACCTGTAAACACAGAGAACAAACTGATGGTTGCCAGAGGTGATGGTGGTAGGAGGGTGGGCAAAAAGAAGTGAAGGGGAGTGGCAGTTTCAGGCTTCTAGGTATGGAATGGGTAAGTCACAGGCATAAAAGACACAGCATAGACAATATAGTCAGTAATATCGTAATAGCAATGGATGGTGACATATTGGAGGTATACTTGGGGTGAGCATAGCATAGCATAATGTTTAAACTTGTTGGACAAATATGTTGTATGCCTTAAACTAATGTCACATTGTGTGTCAACTGTGCTAAAAAAATGATTACTATGGGCCAAAACTCCCCAAGGAGAATGACTTTCAGAAGACACACAGGTTGGGCACCGGGCAACCAAAAGAAGAAAAGAATTTTGCAACTTATTTGATTTCACCTATGCTAAAATGCTCTTTGGCAATCTGATGATGTCCTTGATAAAAAAGGAAAAGGCTCATGGTTACACATCTGTGACTTTAATACATTTCAGGGTGTGCTGTGGTTGAAAGAAGGATTCAGAAAAGTGGTTCTTCCACTTTTTTTTTTTTTTTTAATCATGGCCCACTTTAATGATGGAGGATAGAGAGAAGCTAAAATTTCTAGTCCATCTACCTGGTTGCTTCCTCCTTTTCAACTGAAAATAACTCGTTGATAACAAAAAAAGAACAATTTTCAGCTTGAGCTTATACATGTGTGCTATAAAACAATGCCCCTAAAGAAAACAAAAAATCCATTTTATCACATTTATCTTGATAGTATATTGAAACTCACTCATCTGTATAAATTCAATTAGTGCATCTATCAAACAATGTGTATGTTATTAGCCATTTGGTGAATGTTGGCTAAAGTGGTGGTGTGCGGGTTATATCCATCTTCTTTAGCATTAGTGACCTGGATGATTCTTATTTAAACCTTAACTTGCACATATCTTAGTAACTATCTCTTTAAAAGATATTGTAAGCCGAAAATACCACTAATGCAAATACTTGTTATCAAATAATAAGCAAATTATCTCCAACCAAATGATCTTCAATAACCAAAAAAATGTTCAGTAAATTGAAAATGATAAAGATAAATCAATATCAATTTCTAAGTACAAAGCAAAAAAAAGCAACCATCAAAAACCAGAAATCAGCCACAAGATTAACAAAGTTCTGAGGACAAAGCATCCTGACTGTTTTCATGCATACCAGTAGCTTTCCAGTAACAGACTACTTATAAAGTACCTCCTTTCTTAAATTATTTTATTTATTTATTTTTTTTCATTTTCTAGAGAGGTAGGAGAGAGGGGCAGAGAGAGAGAGAGAGAGAGAGAGAGAGAGAGAGAGAATCTTAAGCAGGTTCCACGCACGCTCAGCGCAAAACCGGCCGGGCTCCATTTCACGCCCTGGGATCATGACCTGAGCCAAAGTCAAGAGTTGGATGCTCAACAAACTGAGCAACCCAGGTGCCTCACCTCCTTTCTTAAATTATACCAATGTGCTGAGTTGAGTTTATGAACTGCTAATATTAGTTATCTATAATAACTCATTTTTTATTTAACTAGTGAAAAATCATAGTTCTATGTAAAGGTGAATATATATAGAATTACACATTTTGCAAATGAAAGAAAGGATTTGCATTTTTGGATCACATGGAAGCCCACCAGAAGGTCCTCCCCAAAGCACCCGGGGGTGTGAGCCATTCCTTTGGGCAACAGCTGTAGCTTCTTTGACTTTGAGTTGAAGGGCTGCTGAACTGCTGAGCACCAGCCTATTGAATAGAGACAAGCCTATTGAAGCATATCTGGTCATCCTTCAAGGACTGGAATGGGATCCTTCAAGAGCATGGACTTTGTACCGGATGGCCTCTAAGTGTCCTGCTGACCCCGGAAATCACCATTTATGACTGATGAGGAGGTGATGACGTGTGTTTCTGCTCAGAGTTTCAGGTACACATTTTATTTCAAAGACAGTACTCTTTATATTTTAGAAAGAGTTACCACTAATATGACTTGTTGGCTTCTGGGCTTTGTCTCTGAACTGTTACTCTGATGCCAATGAGGGTTTTTATATTCGTTCTGAACTGGGAATGAGTTTTAGTAGATAAAACAGAGGTAAGTGCTATTAGCAATCCCTTTCCGAGTGACTAACATTTTTAGTCAATCCTCCATAAGGCTTTTCAACCTAATGAAGAGCTCAAAATGAAGGTACTTTGATTTTTAGGGTTTTTTTTTTTGAAGTTTGTTTGTTTATTTAGAGTACATGCAAGCGAGGGAAGGGCACAGAGAGAGAGAGAGAAAGAAAAGAACCCCAAGCAGGTTCTACACTATTAGTGTGGAGCCTGACATGGGGTTGGATCCCATGATTATAAGATTATGACCTGAGGCGAAATCAAGAGTCGGATGTGTGGGGAGCCTGGTTGGCCAGCGTGGTCAGGCTCAGCATGAAGTCTTCTTGGGATTCTCTCTCTCTCTCTTTCTGCCCCTTCTTCCTGTGTGTGTGCGCTCTCTCTCTCTCTTTCTCTTTCTCTCAAACATTAAAAAAAAGATGCTTAACCAAGTGAGCCACACAGGCACCCCATTTTTAGTTGTATAAGAGTATCAAAATCTGGTCAAAGAGCTAGACAGCTCTGTTGTGGTGTTCCTGTCTAGATCTCCAGATTATCTGAAAGAACCCCCTCATGTGCTTGAAAAACTACCAAACTTATCCTCTCCCATATTAAAACCTTCTCATGAAAACATTCATTGTTTCTCTGGAAATGAGTGTTTGGCTTCTAAGATTTGGCATTAACACAACCTCATTTATCTCAACATAGGTGGTGAAAAAATAGGCTATTTCATAAGGACCTCTGTGACTTCCTGAACATTCTCTTTTCATTGAGGAAGTGACCCTAACTGGAGGACAGCATCTCCCATGGCAGCAGGAGGAGAGAAGGCAGGTGAGTAATGAGGTGACCCCTTATTCTCCTGAGTGCACAAGGGTTCTGTCGCCATGAATCACAATAGATTTCCTAACACAGACTTGGATATCATCTTAATCGATCTAAGACAGTGGTGAAATTAAATGGTGTCCAAAATCTTGGCAGCAGTATTTTTGTCCTAGGGTCTGTGAAATTCCATGAGAAAAGTGTTCAGAAAGAGCTGCATTGAGTGAAGGATTTGGGGAGTTGAGGAATTATTCAAACAAAACCAGTTTAATTTATATGAACCCCCCAGTGAGGAAAGCATTGAGAATGGGAATTTTGAAATAAAAATTTTCCACATTACTTCACAGGTTCTGCTTCCTTACTGAATGTTACTTGTTTGCTTTTATAAATAATATTTCCTCCAGCTGGCACCCTTAGACAGGATCCATTCAGATGAATGTCATGGGGCATTGAGCAATTCCAGTACCTTTCTCAATGAAAACTTAAAGGTTATGTTATTCTCCCTATCCTTTCCTTTTGAGTGGCTATGAAGGAAGTTGTTGATATTATTGTTAATGTTTCAAAGAAAACTATAGCTGCTAGTTATTTTCTTAAGTGAAGCAGAGCTCCTGGCCTTGGAAATGCCCTTGAAGATAGGCTTTTTTAGGTGTTACTACTACTTCTCAAAGAGTAAAGGGTGGGAATAGAAGTCTTTAGTCTTCCATTAGTTTGCTCTCATTTCTTTCTGGAGTGTGATTATGGTTAGGTATCTTGCTCTTGGGTGGAGGTATACACAGCTAGTTTGACAACCTGGTTGGCCTGAGGTGCTGAGGGGCACAAGGAGTCAGAATTTTGGAAATGCCCATGATTTCCATCAGCAAAGAAAATATTGGCTAGTTGGCAACTGAGGGTCAGATCAATAATGATTCTTTTGTGTGGGCACAGTTGGAAAGGAATGCCTTTCACCAATTTTAATAAAACCTCTGAAACATAATTGTAAAGGGGCATTGGGGAAAATCCTGTGACCTATTTGAAATGTATAAGAAGGACTCTCAGGGTGACCCTGGTGGTCAGAGAGAGAATGGAGCTCTGGGGATAGATCTAATGAGAGCAATCCTACAAGCTCATTGACTGAGAAATAAAGCAGAGACTTAAAGAATTAAAAGAATTTATTGGCTAACATGGGGCAAAGTTAGACAAATATAGGCTTGTAGCCTTTAATCCATGTAGTGGAAAGAGGCTGGTTCATTAGGAAAATCATATTTCATATGGGATTGGGAAAATAAGTAGAGAGAAGAAGAATATGTTAAGGACACAGTAGAATGTGAATTTCAATACTAAGGTGGCCTAATGGACACTTCTCGACTATCCCAAGGGCATATGGATCAACCAACCTGGCACTCAGTAATAAAAAACAAAGGGACTCTTTCTGACCAAAGACCTTGGCAGATGGTAGGGGGAAAGAGGTGTGGTTGCAAACAGCCCAAGGCTTTTTCAACATCAACTGTATCCACAGACTTGAAAAGACTGACTTTGCCCAAACAAAATGTGAGAGAGACATCTGTATGATCAGATTACCATCTACTATTGCTGTCAGGAACTACCCAGAGGACGAGTATAAACCAACCAAACACCATAATAGACACCTTTTGGGGAGGGAGGGTGTGGGGGGTTTTCTATGGCCATGCAGAGCTGATAGGCAAGGGGTTTTGCTGGATTCGGGAACTTATTGAGGAATATTGACGGACACTGGTTCCCCCTCTCCTTGGAAATTTTACCTTCCAGCCCAGCACCAAGGAAAGCATCCAGCATGCACCACAGACATAGTCTAAACCTGAAACTGTCATTCACTGTGCTTGGAGACCTAAGGGAGTTTGAACATTCTCTGACTCTGCAGGAGCACTTCACACTTGAGGGCCATTTTATCTGTCACGCTTCAGAACTTTTCATCTGTAGAGGTCTGTGCTCTGAAACCAGACATGTGGCCTTGTCACTTCCTGGAGCCTCTAGTACAGTGTCCTTTCCCAGACAGTCCCAGAGCTCATCACCTGCTGTCTCTGCCCTGATGACATCTTACCAAGTAAGGCCTTCTCCTGTCACTCTGTATAAAATAAAACCTCTCTCCTAGGATCCCTATCGCCTTTTCATATTCTGTTTGACTCTTTAGCCTTTTCACCCTCTGTTACTTTATATATTGGCTAGTTTATCTGCTTGGCGTTTTTCCTGCCCCACTAGAATATAAGTTCCACGAGGGCAGGATGTTGTCTGTTTTGTTTACTGCTTCGTCCCACCACAGGTATCCTGTAAATATTTTGGAAATAAATGAATGAGGCCTTAAGCAGAGGTTTTAAGTTTATCTGGTCTCTTTCAATTTCTTCAGTCCTGTGGGCTGTTTGGGCCCCATGGGGGAGTAGCAGATGGAAAGGGCTTTTTGCGAAGGGTGTAACCGAAACTAATTAATGTACCCAAGCACAAAATGAAAGTTCTTCACCCTGAGAAGGACAAACAGTTGTCAGTCATTGTTTCTTGATTATCTTTCCAAGGCAGGGTCCTACCAAGTCCAGAAGGTTGTCTTTGGAGTGGCCATGACAAGTTTCTGGTCTTTAAGGAAAAAGTAACAAGACAATTGTTTCACAGGTGCCTCTGGCACATGCCAGCGTCTAGTAATGATTGACTTGTCTCTGGATTTTAATGCCTTTAAATCATCCTGTTACTGTCCTTTGAAACCAAGGCAGCCAAGAGAGCTTAGGAAATACTTATTATCTTAAAATTAAGTTAACAGAAAGATTCATAATTGACTGTTAGCCCTTCGGTTCCATGGTTTCTGAGTATCATCTTGTATCTGAAGGCTTTTCTGGTTGCATTCTGCCATGGAGAAAACTTGTCACCCATTAGAAAAGCTTCTTCAGACATCAGTGGGCTTGAGGACCACCTGAGTAGGTATTTGATCTCTCGCGTTCTTTCTTCTCGGTAACTCCAAATTCTAGATGTCAGGGGCAATCGATTTGAGCTGGGTTTTATGACCTACTGTGGGATTCTTGGACAAAGTTAGATTCAACACTAATAAAATGGAGATAAACACATCAAGTCTGTGAAAACCTGTTTACCAACTCCACATGAATTGCAGAATTTAGAAGAGATTCATGGGATCATTAGAAAAATGAGTTCTCCAATCTTTTGTCAACTGTGGATCAAGAAAAGGAGTTAAGATAACTTTTTGGATTTCTTAAAAAAGAGGCTGGTCTTTAAATGAATCTCTCTAACAGCCCCAGGATGCCCTATACAAGCCACAGCCCTTTCTCCTCTCAGTACCATAGCCTCCGTCTGTGACATTGTGGAGGCAGCTCATACAGGCATGTGAGAGCAAGTTGTCAGAATTTCAGGAAAGTTGGGAGCTGGTTGATCTAACAGCAGTAGCTTAAAAAGGGCCATGGCGGGAGGAAGTAAACCACTGAAATAGGCCAACACTGGGAATCAGGGTTCCTCCAGAACTCCAGGGAGCTTGTTGTTAAACATTCACTAGCACACCACTAGCCCTCAGTATCCTTCAACACTGCAAGAAGTCCTTTGCCTGCCTGACGTGTGTGTGTGTGTGTGTGTGTGTGTACATATACACATGAAATAAAAAATATTTAAAATATTTTGTAAAAACAAAAAAGGATAAAAGTTTCCCAGAAAATGGAGATGAAAATTGCCCGACTGGGTACAAACACCTCATAGACAATGGACTATTCATCTGTGCTGAGGAACTGGAGCCTAACCATCGTTCTGCATACTCCAGGTGTGACACCAGTGACTTTTCAATCTTAGACCAGCTGTTGAATCTCCCTATAAGTTCTGGGGATCCAAGCAGAGAGTAAACATCTTTGTGAAAAGGTATCAGCGGGCATGAGGCCGTATACAATATACACATACTATGAATAGATCTAAAAAGAAACAAGCATCAGAAGGCCTGGATCCTTTGCTAACTTTCACTCTAGAGTTAAATATTTGCCAAGAAGTAAGCTTCTTCCACTTCAGATCTTTAAAGTTACGTTATAGAAGTGACCACCCAGCCTCAATAAAAGAGAATATGGATTATCATACCAATGACTACACCACGTGAGATAAAGGCAATCTCCCTGCAACTTCAGATATTCCTCTGGAAATAACCCGCGCATTGTTTACCCCACCTGAGAACCACCTGTATTTGTATAGCAATCACACTTGAAAGATACTAAGAGTACAGGGCCGAGCCCCAAAGGCAGGGTCTGTTGACATAATTAGGTGGTAACTCTCCAACTCCCAAAGTTCTTTTGACGATAAGAAAGAAAGAGACACCTCTTGCTCTGTAGGAAACTCCTTTTCAGTTTGTTTTCTAGTAATTGCCTAGTTTATTCCCTTCCTGCTGTTCAGTGGTTACTTTATTTAGGGACAGTAGAGGATTTTCACCTGGTGCCATAGGCTTAAACACTTCTGGAAAAGTGGCTGTGCACCTGCACCTGAGACGAGTAGATGCGTATTAACTATTTTACAAAACAAACAACTCCAGGATGCCTTGCAACTGCTAATAACCTCCCTGGAACAGCCCAGCACTGCTGGATTGTCCCTTTCCACTGTTAGTTCATACGCAAAGTGGTAGGATATTGTCACCTTTGCTCAAATGCAAGAAAATCAGAAGATGCTGTGACCTGAAAGTGCTGGTACTTCCAGCTCCAGTTGGTTTCAGAGGAAACTTCCGGTGGCTGTCACCGGCTACAAAATAGATGACATGTGTCTTGTACTCTTTGACTTATTCCTTTCCTCAAGATAACACTCAGGATCTTTCACCTCTCCTTGCCTCTGAATAGGCTGCTCCCTCTGCTTAGATCTCTCTCGTGCTCACCTCCATTTTCACTTGGCCATATTGGAATCGTCATTCACTTCCCCATATTGTAATCCTCAACTCAGCTATCATGCCATGCCTGAAGGCTTCCCTGAGGAATCCTCATCTCCAGCCTGGGTAAGGGATGGTTCCTCTGAGTTCTTACAGTAATTTTTGATGATTGCCATCATCCCATATGGCATAATGTGCAATATATCCTAGGTATGGTTAGCCTCTTTCTTAAAGCAGTGGTTCTGAATTTG